GCAGCCTCCCTGCCTAGGCCGGAGCGGGTTTCCTCTGATTTGTGGTGTATACTTACTGCTGTATTTTCTAGTTAAAATGTTGGTATGTTGGTGGTGTTTTTAGCAGTGTGATGTTGTTCATCTTAAGTTTTCAACTTAATGTTTGGAGTTGTCTTGGTTCAAATACCAGTTTCAAAAACCAGTCAAAACCACGGGGTTGTCGCTGTAAGTTCCTGCAAACTGTGTTATCCTAGTGGAAGAGTGGGCTTTAGTGGCAGAAACAGACTGTTTCTGAAAGTGCTTTTGTTCATAAAAGTAGGATTTTGTAACTGAGCTTCAAAGCGAAGTGATTTTTTTCTAACAACAAGACTTTCTCAGTTTCACTTCTTTGTGGCTAGTGCTACATGGCCGGTGCTGTGGGTGCTTGTTTCTCATGTATCTTTAAAGTTACCTTTCTTTAAAATGCTTTTATATTGGGCACAGTATATCTAAGATACAAACACTTTTTGAAAAGACATATTCGTAGTTGGAGTGTCTTGTGATATCAGAGGCTGTGTATATTCATAAAGTATGTGTAGCTACAAGGACTTGAGTTTTTGTATACGTAATGTGCACTATTTGCGGTTGTAAGCTAGCAGTTTTAATACTACTTGTAAAATATGCAGGCTGGTGCCTGCTTTTGCTGTTGGTTTGCCCACAAATGGTGTCACTGTTCTCTCCTCAAACTGCAGAAGATGACAACGTGTGTTCTGGGTTGTGACCTTGACTTGAATGCTGTCTCTGTGAAGTTAATTAATTTTTTAGAGGATAGCTTAAAACCTGTCTAAAACGCCTTCTACCACATAAGTTATGCTTTCTATGGGTTATGTTATGGGTTTATACTTTTTTAGACTTTATGTGAAATCATAGCATCTCTTTGTTCATGTGTTTGGAGGGCATACTCATGCAGTGTTTTGTCTCAAAACGAAAGCTTAGTTGCCAAAGTAACTCAAACATAAGTCCATGAAGGGTCTTGCTGTAATTTATATGGATGAAGAGCGTTATGTTCTCCTGTTTTTTGGGTAAATTGTGAGAGAGAAAGTTCTAGCTCTTATTACAGTACTTTAGTGATAATATCACTTCTGTTTCAGGCTGTAGTGTAATCGAGAATGGGTGCTAAGTGTACCTTGTTGACTGAAAACCATGTAACAAAATAGCAAAGCGTATTTTCTCATGCACTTGCAGGTACACAGTGTATTAAACTATCTGAGCAACCATGCTGGCTGCAAGGCTGGTGTGCCTGAGGGCGTTATCATGCCAGACTATCCGCCCCACCATTACTCAGGCTTCTCCATCTTTGAGGAACTCCAATATAAAAGCATACAGACTGTGGCAACCTAACCAGGTAAGGTAATTCTCTTTCTAATAATCCTGACTGCTGATATTTTAAAGTGTTGAGTGACTTACCAAGAGAATTGCTTTGCATGGAGTACCTATTTTGAATGATCATGAGCCTTCTGCTTCTTTGAGGTACCTGGTCTGATTTACTGAAGGAGGAGTGTTAATCAAACAACAGAGGTTTTAAGAGCAATTATAATATATCCCATTCCAGTTACTATTTTGCCATTGAAATTACTGAGAAAAAAATAACTTAAAGGAAGTAGTTAGTGATGGACAAGCCTTATTTTGTAAGCAGAATATATGCAGCTTATCCTGTAAGGTAGGAGGAGTGGAAATTCTTATCTGACCTCCTCCTACCTCCTTGTTTCCACATAAGAGTCTTAAATGCAATATTAAAGTTAAAACTTTTCAAATACTCTGGTCCCAGTATGTGTTTGGAGCTGTAGCCCAGGTTAGAGCAATTTCTGAACTATTGCAGGGCTGCCATGGGTCTAACCAGCAGATTGAAAAATGGGACTGTCATTATCCTAAAATACTGGTGTTTATTTGTTGGGACAGGATGTTTCATTTGTGCTTTCTGCCCAGGTAACTCACAGCTGTTAGGCGGCATTGCTCTTCTGTCATCATCTCAGTGAAAGTGCTAATGGCAAATTCTTCTCCTCTTTTGTGTTTTCCTCTTAAGCATAGAAAGCTGTGTTAAGCATCCTAAGTGTGTGTGGGGGGTGTGTGTGTGTGTTCATGTTTTCTTGGTTTGGTGGGGGTTTTTTTTGTGTTGGTTTTATTTCTGTGTTGAATGCTACATAATTACAGTGTGGGGCTGGATTTTGTTGAATGCAAAACACAAAACTGAAGTGCTGTGGTAAAGTTCCTGAGTTGTATTGCTCTGATGGGTGGTGATAGTAACGCCTGTAGACTTCAGGTTTTAGTGTTAAAACAAACTCACAGCTTTGAGTGAGCCATTGATTGCTTAGGTGCCTGTATAATAATTTTAGAAATTCTTGGAAAAAATGGTAAGGAAACTTCAAAAGTTGTGTGAACTCAAATACAACTTTGTTCTGTCTTGCTCTTGTAGCTTTAAAACTTTGAGCAGCATGCTCTATTTATATGGAGCTTGTCAGCCTTAAAAGCCTTAAATTTATAGGCCTTCATTCAAGGTTTGTCATCTAAATCAAGGGCTAGAGTTGAAAGCAAAGAATTCTTGCTGCTTCTCCAAATTTAGTGTCTGTCAAGTACAAGTATTGTGCAAGAATACTTTTTTACAAAATAAAAAAATAGTATGTTTTTATATTTAAAAAAAAAGCCTCATAGCCTCTTTTAGTGTAGTGGGGCTGGAGTAGAAGAAATGCAGATTGAAAACTTCAGTTTGTGGAAATGCAGTTCTAGAATGGTGAACGTTATTCACAAAGCTTCATCAACTTTAATGTTCAGTTGTTTTCCTTGATCACAGTTGTCTTTGGGAGGTCAGCACAGATAAATTTGTAGCAAGTCAGTTGATAAGAAGTGTCTTCTATTTTGTTTCATTGCATCTTTCTGATGTTATTTCTCAATCTAACAGTGTTATACCACCAGAGTAAGAACGGGTGTAAGGCGTCGAAAAATTGGCCAGGAGATGAAAGAAGCAGCATTTGAGCCATCTGCAGAAACAGCACTTAAAGGTACAATAGCTCTGCTTTAAATGCTGACGTTCTTTGAAGCTTAACTTAAAACTTCCTCAAAGGAATCTGTTTCCCTCAAACCATTAAAGAGGCTGAGAATATAGTTTCATCTGTAAGCTTGCTTAGTGATCTTCCTGAAATGACTGGAGACAGTTCCTCTGCGTGTCTTTCCTTGTAAAGTTTAAAGCTGCAGATATGTCACAGTATAGAGAAATTTCATGTCTCTAAGCTGCTCTTGAGAACTATTCAGTCAATAAATGGTTGTCTCTTAATGGAGACTTGGTTGCAGATTTTAAAACATATGCTAGCACTTGCTTTGCTGCATCTACTTTATATTGTTTAAAGGAGGGATTTTTCTACAGTGTGTGCAGTTTGTAGAAAAGTTTCTGGTGCTGTAGTTATGTATAGCATTGGCTTATTATGCTTGCTAGCACATCTAGTGTGGATCACTATTTCAGTGGATTATAAAGGGTTTTTTAAGATAGCAGCATTCAGCAGAACAGATTGTAGATGTCCCGTAATAGCATTGAATTGACAAATAAAATATACGTAGATTGGCTAGATAGCGTCTTGGCTATGACGTGTTAGGAAGAAGCAAACTCTTAAACAGTTATACAACTGAAGATATTTAGTCTCAGTAACTTAATTTGGTTAGAACAATGTTATGATTGATATTTATATTTGTAGCAGTAATGTGGTATGTGGCACAGAGGCAGTATGTGTAAAATCAGACAGTAGAAACAGATAGTAAATCATGTGGTGTTGCCCATGAGCCTTAGAAATCCCTTTTTAAACTGATTTGACTCTAATTGCTGCCAAAGAGCTTTTGAAAGTAGCAAGCATTAATGGCAGATGAATGAGAGGAAAGGAGACAACGTCCAGTTTTCCTCCTGTTTTATAGTGAGTTGGATAATGAAATGCTTTACTAAATCAGCTGACAGGTGAACTCTCCTGTTGGAGAACCTGTTAACTGGTTTTGTGTTGGAATTCTGTCGCTGTAATGAAGGTCAGTAAACCTGGCATGTTACTGCCTTGTCTCCTATTTCTTACTCTTGTTTTATGGAGCTATATTGTGTTGGTAGGTTGACTCTAGAGGTTTTTCACGTGTAGCTCTTTGAGAACTGGTAACACAATGACTATAAGTTAAGTGGAGCTTTAAGAAAGAAGCCTATCATGGATCAGCCATTGCAGATACAGCAAAACTCATGTGAGGATGTTACTGACTATCCAAGAAAAGCATTTGTGAATGCGGATGTGTTTTTTTTTTCTTTGTACAGCTGATCGCCTGGGGAAATTTATTGTTGCTGGAGGAGCTGCTGTTGGTTTGGGGGCCCTCTGTTACTATGGAATGGGCATGTCCAGTGAGATTGGAGCTATTGAAAGAGCTGTGTAAGTAAGATGGCTTACTCTTTTAGTTAAAGAGTATGTTAAGTGCATCTCCCTCCTCTTTATATCCATCTCTTAAGCTGGTGTCACTCAGTGTACACACAGCTTACATTTTTTTAAAGCTTTATTCTGCTAAATTGGAAATCTACTTGTGTAGAGTATATAAATATATTTTATGAGGTGTGCTGCAGATAATTTATGAAGGATAGCCTTGTGTAAAACAAAGACCACTTTGCCTGGTGTTCTTATGAGACTGTTCATTAAACTTTAATACAGCATACTGGAAAGAGCATCTCTTCTCAACACACTACTTAGCTTGTCATAAGCTTTGCTCTAATAAATGTGTTGCTTAAAGCTTTGAGATACTGCTTTTTGGCCAACAAAAACCTGACTGATGGCAAAAGCATGTATTCATTTAGATTTAAAAGGTGGTTAGTGATAAGCATGGGCTTGGGAGAAATGAGTGCTGGAGATGTTGTGGTTTACTTTTTCTTTTTTTTGGAAGTGACCATCTGCATTCATATGGAATGCTTGCTAGTGGTGTCTTGAAGCTTTTTGTTGATACAGCTGTCTGTAACTTTTTCTCCACGAGCCTTGAACTAATGGGTCAGAAGAATAAAATGGGAGAAAACGTGTGCACTGTGTTTAAGTTTGGTGTTAGCAGGGAAAGCTTCCTGTCTGTACTATGACGAAATCACACTGCAGACACTCTTACTCGTGTCTAGTTCTATTGCTATTGTCAGAGCTCTCAAAATGACGTTTGTGGCTTGTGATGTCAGATCATCATGTGCACTGTGACTCAGCAATTTGTGAGCTGCTCAGCAGACTGCTTAGTGCCCAGTACACGTTTTTCCTTAAACCAGTTTATTATATATACACCGTTTTCTATTTTTCCATGGTCACAAAGTGTTAATTAGTCTAATTCCTGTGTATGCTTCCTCTTGAATTGAACAATAACTAGCATCATTTGTAATTTGTCGTGTTTTGAGAGAGTTATCTTACATAAGACCAGCAAGATCTGAAAGTTCAGCTTCCTGTTGCAAGGTGAACTTGCGGCAGAAGATGCTAGACCACACCATTGTTGTGAAACCTCCCTTAGATCCATAGCTATTAATGCATGCAACAGCTTGATTGTGTTTTTAGTTGGTTTTCATTCTGATACTGGTAATTGCACAGCTATGTATGACTGTTTATGTTTCAGCATTTGGCCACAATATGTGAAAGACAGAATTCACTCTACTTACATGTATTTTGCGGGAAGCATTGGCGTGACAGCGCTGTCTGCTGTAGCAGTGAGCAGATCTCCAGCACTCATGAGCCTTATGACAAGAGGCTCCTGGCTGGTAAGTTTGTTATAAAAATATTTACTGAGAAGAGACCCCAAATGTGATAGTTGATAGAAAACATGTGAAATGTAAACTACTTGGTGAAAAGTAGGGCAAAACTTCACTTACTCTAATGTCCTTATCCATAAAGACTGCTTAAGTACCCTAATTATATTTTGTGATTGAAGATGTGGTGATTCTCATTACATGCTGACATGCACCTTCTACAGTACTTGATAGTTTGACAAACTACATGAGCAAAAGAAAAATGCTCTGCTGTCCTTACCAGCTATATGTAAGTAAGAACCTGTTATAAATAGCCATGTGGGGCTAAGGACACTATTTCTATTACTTTCTAAAGTGGAGACTGAGGTACCTGTGTATTCTTGCTCTTCCTTGTGCTCTTCTGTATAGCTCTTTGAAAGCTGTCTCCTGTTTGCCAAGGCTGAAACTATACTGGTAGGCAAATACTCCAGGCAAACTGCTAACAAAATGTCTGCTTAGTATATATTCAGTGTGTTAAGTAGAGTAGAATGGTAATAGGTAAATGCTTACAGCTTCACAGTTTTATGTGGGTTAATTTTAAAAATGCATCCTTGATGAGAAACCAGAGAGTTACATTTCTGACTGGTTTGCTAGTTGCTGGATGATTCTGCTCAGAATCATCAGTAAGAGGAAGCAATGAAGTTTAAAAAACGTTGGTAGCAAAAGCATGTGAACTTAGTATTGGCTTTGGATGGAGAAATGTACCAGAAAAAATTAAGGCTAATTTTTCAGGTACTCTAATGAGGATTAGAGTAAGGGGCAAAACCATGTTTTCTTCTCTAACCTTACACAGCTAAGACAGTATTGTCACCTTACTGCTGAACCTAGATTCCTGGAAGACTAAAAGTAAAATGGGAATTGCCATAAGCCAGGATTTGCAAAGTTTTGACTGTAACCTTAAAGGAGGAAAACTGATAAATGTTCCAGTTATTAATTAGGTTGCTCTTTTCAGAATTACACTAGTGACTTTTAGACTAGGAAGTTAGAACAGAAACCGTATGTCCTAATGCTAACTTGAGCTCTTTAATGCTATTTTATTTATACAGGCAATAGGTGCAACTTTTGCAGCTATGATTGGTGCTGGAATGGTGGTCAGGTTCATATCCTATGAAGATAGTCCAGGAGCTAAGCATTTGGCTTGGATGATGCATTCAGGTATGTGATTTTAGTGTTCCTAGTGGAGATGTGTGTGCTTCAATGTGATCAGATCCTTAATTTAACAAAACTTTGACTTCAAGGTAAATTTTTATATATTGCTGTAGGAGAGTTAAGATTTTTCAGACACCAATGAAAACTTCCACATTTCAAGATTTCTTAAGTGTCTTTGACACAGTAATATTTTTCACAATCTTATAAAAGTCATGCTTAAACTTGAGGGATGTGTATGCCACATATGAACAGAAATAATTGGTTTCTTACCTGCTTTAGTTCTGTGACTTTTCTGGTACTATAGCTTCTCTGAGCACTGTTGCCTACACTTAACCATTCTTCAGCTGCACAGCATAGGAAGATATTTGAAAACTTGACTAGAAAAATGTGATTTTTAGTATTAAACTGCAGCTTTTTAGAGACATATGTGATATTAATGGACTAAATAGAGGTTTAATAGAAAATCTTAGCAAAAAGTCTGACTTGTCTAAGTACTCACTGTAGCAGAAATCTGTCCCACTCTTCGTTGTTACCTGCTCCTATGGCTATTACATAGCTGGTTAGTCCACGCTGAGCATCTCTTACCAGCTCTGTTCTGAACAGATCCATATATTTACTTCTGTTAGTCTTTCTTCCAAAGACCAGCTCCCTGAAGTACTCTCCAGAGCTAGATGAAAGTAGGTCATGGAATTGAAGGCTGCCAATTTATTGTGCTCCCTTCTAGTCAGGTGCACAATCAGTGCACTAGTATTTTGTCATGTAAGTGGATTTGCTTCAGCCATGTTACCTGACTGGGGTGGGAAGTGTTGGCAGGTGGTGGTGTTTTTACCAGAACTATTCCAAATCTTCTGGGTGTTGTTTTTGTTTTCCTTTGGCTAGGTGTCATGGGTGCAGTGGTGGCTCCTCTGACCTTCTTGGGTGGTCCTTTGCTGATCAGAGCTGCCTGGTATACAGCTGGAATCGTTGGAGGGCTCTCAACTGTGGCCATGTGTGCTCCGAGTGAAAAATTCCTGAACATGGGAGGACCACTTGGAATAGGCTTGGGCTTTGTTCTTGCCTCTTCAATTGGTAAAATGCTGTTTTAATACTGTCAGATAAAGAAGGTTATAAGCTTAAGCTCCTAAGATGCAACTCATGTTTAATTGCGCACTGATGTGTCCAGTTAAGATTTGCTTTGAATAGCCCTTGCAACTGTAGCACAGCAGAAAATAACTGATAAATTTGTTCTTGAAAACAAACAGAAGTAGCAGTTCTGGCAAGTGTTAACCTGACAAATGGCTGATAGTGGTGGCATGTATTTTCAGTTACTGCCAGTGACTAGGGAAGACAGTAAATACAACCTTAGTTGTTGATCCACTTGTTCATCTCCTCTGTTTCTAGACATGGTTGTAATCCTAGAGACAGAAGTACTTTCCATGAAGCAAAGTACACGACTTCCTAAGCTGTGCAAAATTACTAGATCAAGTTTTATATGTGACATCTTCAGCTTGTGTGTTAAGGCTTTTGGTATCAAAAACGCACCACAAATTGAGAATTGAATACTCACTGAAAAACACGTGGTACAGTAACTGAAGTTTGACCCAATTCAGAGTAGCAGGTACACATCGTAGTTTTCTTTAACACCACTGTACATTTCTCTCCAGGATCCATGTTCTTGCCTCCTACTTCTGCTCTTGGTGCTGGCTTGTATTCAGTAGCTGTTTATGGTGGATTGGTACTCTTTGGCATGTTCCTGCTCTACGATACGCAGCATGTTATCAAGCGTGCAGAAACTGTTCCGTATTATGGACCAATAAAATATGACCCGATCAATGCGTAAGTATTCTCTCAACACAGCTGATCTCAGTGTCTCTGTAAGAATTTGCCTCAAGCTATATTGGAGTATGCTTTAAAAACAGTCAGACCTTTTGTTTACTGTAAAGTGTATTGCTGTTAAATAGGAAGAATCACAGGGTTTAAAACTACAATGTAAAACAGCTAGTCAAGTTAAGACTGAAACCATCTGCGTGAAATGAGAGAAATGGGATCGAATGTGTGATGTTACATGCTTCCAGCAGTACTTTTTAGAAAGTATTTTTGTTTTCTGAGGCATTGCTGGGAGAATTTATAGCTGCTTTCTGAAAATATTTGTCAATATCAGCTGAGACAAAAAGTGTTAACTCATTTATAGTCGCTTAGTATTCCCTAGTCTTTGTCACTAAGTAAAAAAGCTTCAACAGTGCTTTTTTTAGGGAAAGAAGGATTAATTAACTCCCAGTAGAGACCAAGTCTAACAGGTAACTTGCTTGTAAATGTTGTGTCTGATCTTAGTTGAATTGTTTACCTCCTTGATTCAGGTTTCTTAGAATAATACTGACCTTATTCAAAATTCTTGGAGATACATATAAAAGTACAGCATAAAAGCAGAGGGCAGCTGTATGAGAATAGTATAGCGTCTGTTAAGATTTCTGTAAATAGCTTCTGCTGGCAGAGATGGTAGTACAAAAAAATACAATGTTTTTTGGTGTGTCAAGCACTGAGGACCATCATAGTTGGGTTTTGTTACAGATGCTTCATGAAGGCTTTTAAAAATCAAGTATGATGGTGTGAAACACCGTAGAATACTGTTTCTGTTCAACAATATTAACTTTGTTTTCCTATTTCCTAGGTGCATGAGTATCTACACAGATACACTGAACATCTTCATTCGGGTGGCCACCATGCTTGCGGGTGGTGGAAGTGGCAGGAAAACGTAAACTGAGACTCCTCTTTGCAGCTGTCTGACAGCCTCTCTAGTGCATATAGTAAATAAAAATTCATGGTTACAAGCAATTTCACTGCAAGTCAGAAGTTTAAATCACTTCAGCACATTGTTTCAGTGCAATTCAGATTCAGACTTAAAAGTTTCTATTCAAATACTTTCCAGCTCTGTGTTTAAAATAGTATGAACTGCTTCTAATTGTAAATTATTTTGAGAAAGTAAATTATTTTTAATATGTCTTACCTGGTTTTTATGGGTTTGACAGCAGTTCAACTTTTTTTTTTACTGTTACTGCATAGTGGAGGAAGTAATTTCTAAAATGATGCCCATATTCAGGTAGGGACACAAGCAACTTCATGAAATGCTGTTGAGGTGAATCAGTTTTAGGTTAAGATGGAATAAATGATATTTCAGTAACACATTAAGAATTGAACAAATAGGATATGGCACTAAATGCAGTAGTGACTTCTGTCTGAGCAGAAGTTTCAGGAAGGCTTAAGCAGTTGTTAGAAATGCACTGGATTTGACAGGTGAGGTGACCAAAAGCTATAAAGGAGACAGGTTAAGGAAACTGGCATTTGTCCCATAGGAACTTCAATCTTTCTGGAGTATGAATGAGAACTCCTTGCTTTAATATTGACAGGATATAATAGCTACCTTATTTTTATACTAGACTTACCAAATTGTTGAATAGCAGTAGAGGTGTGTCTCTTCCAGTGACTACATTTCAGTTTTGCAGATGAAGCCCCATCCTGAAGGTCCTAGTGCTCATCTCTTACAAGCTTGTACAAAGAGGGAATTGAAGATTGCCTGCTGTAAGATCAAGTATCATAAATTTACCACAGTGTTGTACACTTCAGTCTGTTTCTACCTCTTTCCAATTTGGTATGTTTAGCTTGGTCTAAAACAAATGTTCTCTATCAGTGAATTTAATTTAACAGTAAATTTACACTTAGCAAATGCTATTGCTATTTATGTTGGAATAAAAGGTGAGATGCGCAATGAAGTTTTGAGATAATGTCAACAACTCAGACTCTCAGTTTCTGGTGAATACGCTATGTTTATGTATTGAATGACAGAAACTTAGGAGTTGGAAGGGACCTCAGAAGCTCATCCAGTCCAACCCCTGCCAGAGCAGGATCACCAGACCAGGTCACACAGGAGCACGTCCAGGTGGGTTTTGAATGTCTCCAGAGAAGGAGACTCCACAACCTCTCTGGGCAGCCTGGGCCATGCTCTGTCACCCTCACAGTGAAAAAGTTTGTCCTCATGTTCACATGAACCTCCTGTGCTCCAGCTTGCTCCCATTGCCCCTTGTCCTGTCTTTGGCTGTCACAGAGCAGAGCCTGGCTCCTTCCTCCTGACACTTGGCCTTTACAAATTTATAAACATGAATGAGGTCTCCCCTCAGTCTCCTCTTCTCCAAGCTAAAGAGACCCAGCTTCCTCAGCCGCTTCTCATAAGGGAGATGCTCCTCTCCCTCCATCATCTTTGTGGCTCTACGCTGGACTCTTTAAAGCAATTTTCTGTCCTCCTTGAACTGAGGGCCCAGAACTG